CCAATGATATATAATATTGATATTTATATTTGGTAATATGTATACTCCTTTTTATATTACCTAATAATACAACAAGAGTATTATATATAGATTTAGGATTTGAATATAAATTTAAGATTGATATAAATTCGTATTAGTGTATAAAAGCGCTTATATAACATATGAGACATTTTAATTAAATGAATTTTTTTATATACTTTGCTTTTTGATACAAAATTAATTATCTTTTAACTTTTTTATTTTTTTCTTGCTTTTTCGATATATATTTCGACATACATATACTTCTTTTTAATCATATATATAAATTACCAGGCTTATAATCTATTATAAATTATAAACTAATAATATAATATAAAAGCTAACTTAGATTAATAATTAAAATAGATTATATAAATAATATAACACATGATATTAAAGAATTTATATTAAATAATTTTCTTTTTTATTTTATATTTAAGGAAAAAAGACCTCTTTTTATACTTTTTCTTTTTAATTTAGTATTTCTGTTTTTATAAATCTCTTGTAGATTTCTTTCTAATCTGTTTATTCTTTCGAAATAAAGCCCTTTTTCATATTTTTTATTTTATATTTGTTTTCGGATTTATGGCCGTTTTCGGCTTAATGGTTGTTTTCGGATTAATGGTCGCTTTTATAAGCTTATAGGTGACAATTATGTGATCTGATTATATAATATGCTAATACTAAATTGAATGCTACTAAAAAGATATATATATTATATTATTTTAATTAAAACAATAATTATTTTAATTAAAACAATAATATTATTTTAATAAATTCTTATATTATAATTTATTTTTCCACATTTATTACAATATCAAATAAAAAATATTTTTCTATTAGATTTATTCTTTTTTTGATATTTATTATATTAAATCTAAATATCAATTTTTTGCTGAAATAATATATCAAAAATCTTTTATTCAATAAGTATTTTTCCTTAATATAATTAGATTTTTTTTATATATCAATATTTACTTAATATTTTATTTATTATTCAAAATATATAATTCTTTGTATTTAAAAGTGTATTTTTATGAGTTAATCTTTTTATATTCTTAGTTAAAGTTAGTATAATTTCGAATATAGGTGTAAGGGAATTTATTTGATAATAAGTTATTCGAGATTTAATTAATATTGATTAAAAAAAAACTTTAATTGAATTATAAAGGATTTAAGAGATTCATTAATTCAAATTGAAAAAGGGGAAAATAAGTATATAAATTTGAATATCTAATTTCGAGAATACAATTTTAAGATTAAATAAAATTAAATTTATTTCTTAGAATCCTGATTTTATATTCTAAGAAATAATTGATTTCTTATATATAGCTTTAAAAGCTATAAAGAATTTAATCTTTGAAATATAATTGATATATATTTTGATAAATCCATTAATTTAATTACTATATAAATATTTCAGATTACTAAAACAATCAATATTAAATAATTGAATTAAATGATTTGAATATAGTAATAAATATAAATATATAATATTATTCTCTTTGTAATATACTTGAAAAGTTATTAATTTATAGCTTTTATATCCATTCAATATTAACATTCGATATTTGCCCTTTTTTCGATTTTTAATATACTTATCAAAATATTTCAACTATTCTAAACCTATCTCATTATTCGTTTACTTATTAGATATAGATTTAATAGTTTATTCTATAGGAAGATTTGTTTTGATATATTAATTGAAGAGATAAACTTGTTCTTGAACTACTAGAAATGAGAGAATAGTTTCACCCTTTCCATTTTCATATATTATTGTTATAACCCATTTTCAATTGTTTAACTATACTGCCTTATTTTTGCTATTTCATTTAGTATTAATTACTATTATTATTATATATATAATGCTTATCATAAAGCCTGTTTTATCGAAATTATAGAAATCTCCATTCAAAATGCTATATTTCACTTATATATTTACAATTAATCAAAACTATTCTTCAAAAAGTTTAAAATCCTTATAAAAAGCTTTTTGAAAATTATAAACACAATTAAAATATATTTTTAATTCAATTCAATACTTTATAAATTAATATATCCAAAGTTTTTTAATATATTTTGTACCCCTTGATTTGAGAATATAATTTGTTATATCTTTTATATTCTTAAATTTAGATAAAAAATCTTTTGAATTTATATTGATTATATATTCAGAAATAATATTCTTTTCTAATTCTAAAAGATTATAAGATTTAAATTAACATTTGAAATAAGGAGTAAAACCTTTGATTCTATATTATAATATTATATTCAGAATATTATATATCTTCACAGCTTTTCGAATACTTATTTTTTTATTTTTCTGAATAGCTTTAATAGTAAGGAATATATGAGCTTCTTAATTATTCGAATTCATTATAGATTATTAATAAAACATATATTAAAAAAGAAGAGTATAAATTGAAATAAAAGTGATCTATTCATTGATATAATCCACTCACTAATAAACCACGTTATATTATTGAAGTATTCTTATCAAATGAATTGAGTTATAACGTGGTTTATCAGTGAGTGAGTCATATCAATGAACGGGTCATTTCGAAAACCATCTAAATCAAGCTTTTTAAAATATTAATATTTTAATAACTAATTATTATTTTCTTAAATAAAAGATTTTAAAAATAATTAAAATCTAGGTTTTTTATTAATCTAATTTTTATAAAATAATTTTATTATATTCTAAAAAGAAAAGGAAATTGTTACGATTTTCGTTACAAAAAATCTATTTTTATAATAACAGCTTTATAAATTCAAATTTCTTGAAACTAATAAGATTTTTAATATTCTTATATATTGAAATATTTTATATCAAATTTTCAGAAAATTATATCTATAAATAAAGAAAGTGTACGATTACATACAGACGAATTTTATATATAAAATAAGTGACCCATTCACTAATATGACCCACTCACTGATAAACCACGTTATATCAAAAACATAATTAAAAGCTTTTAAACTCTTAAGAAAATAAATGTCTCTTTGATCTCTAATTGGCTGAAAAAAATTTATTAGTAAGCTATAACACTACCACTATTAAGAAAATCAAGATATAATTCAGAATTCTAATTAAAAATGTTTTATCAATAAAGAGATTCTGAATATTGAGATAATCTTATATCTTTGATTTGCATTCGTATCAGCCATGGCTTGTTCATCAACAAAAATGAGGGAGGTGTTCCCCGCTAGTATTTCTTAGCGCAAGGCTGTCACCCCGCAAATTTCATCACAGCCTTCTTCACCCCCTCAACATTCAGTACTTCATTTCACTCCATGAATCGCCTTCGCCCACTTTGCAGGTTCACGAACTCTTTTCTAAAACCGCGATTAAACTCTGCAACATTCCTGAATATTCACAATCACAGATTCAACATGTCTACAGCTACCAATGGTGTCCTCGAAGCTGGGCAAGGAGATAAACCCCGTTATGTAGATGTACATTCTCCTGCCCAAGACTTCAGCATCTATTCGACCGCGGACACAATAGCTGATCAGTCTTTTCGCAGTAGATAGGTATAAATCTTACCGATCCCGTCTACTCTGGAATCTACTATGATACACAACGTCATCCAGCCGATCTGCCCTCTGTTATCTCACGAGCTCTTACTGCAGGGTGTCAGAAACTTATCGTTACCGGATCCGATTTAGAAGAGTCTAGAAAGGCTGTTGAACTATCTAAGGAATATTGTAAGGATCTTTAAAAAATCTAGAAATTTAGAAGAGGAAAATGGGAAGTAGCAAAAGCTAACAGCTAATTCTCATAGCCGGGGTACTCTTCGCAACCGTTGGCGTCCACCCCTGTTCCTGTCTCCAATTCACGAAAGCCCCTAATACTCCGGATAAATACCTTCAAGATCTCGAGTTGTTGGCATTGGAAGCAAAAAACACAAATCACTGCGTAGCATTTGGAGAGTTCGGCCTTGACTACGATCGTCTGACTCTATGCCCAAAAGATGTCCAGTTAGAATACTTTGAGAAGCAACTCGATATAGCGACTCGCCTGCATCTACCACTCTTTCTTCATTCACGTGCTGCTCATGAAGATTTTGTACGAATATTAAAGGCCAGATTAGAAGAGTTGCCAAAGAGAGGAGTGGTTCATAGTTTCACTGGAACAAAAGAGGAAATGGAGGAACTGGTTGCTTTAGGATTTGATATTGGGGTGAATGGTTGTTCGTTGAAAACAGAAGAGAACTTGGAAGTGGTGAAAGCAATACCTATGGAGAGACTTCAAATTGAGACTGACGGGCCTTGGTGTGAGATCAGACCTAGTCATGCAAGTTCGAAATGGTTGAAGGGGTTCGAGGAAGGGAAAAAAGGGGAAGGAATGAGCGAGGGCGAAAAGTCTATCGAGGGCGGGAAGGGTTGGAAGAGTGTGAAGAAGGAGAAATGGGTAGAGGGGGTAATGATTAAAGGTAGAAATGAACCTTGTATGATTGGTCGGGTAGCGTGGGTCGTTGCAGGAGTCAAAGGGGTGAGTGTGAAAGAATTGAGGGAGGCGGCATGGAAAAACAGCTGCAAGATGTTCGACTTAGGAGCGTGAGTAGCGTTTGTCTGTTTTGACCACAGATGTGCACGTTATTACATTAGATGGCTAGAATCTAGATCCAAATTCTGAATCATTTGACAGTTGGGTTAGGCTTCTGCGAATGAGACCTATGACATGAGGTGATTCTACGTCTTACTACAACAGCAAACAAATAGACATATTCACATACTAATAGATGAATAGGGTTGGTATCACAACATCCTTTGGGTTAGTCCCGCATTTGAAATTGTAAATCTTCTCATGATATAAGTCGGTCAATGCTGTACAAATCGTGCCAAAACATGTCGGTTCTTACAATGCCTTGATGGGAATAGGAAACCTCCAACTCCAGGTATCACGGCAAACCCAAACCTCCAAACACCAAAGTCCGAAACTTCCCAATATAATCACACATACTCATTACGAGTATCATTCAGACGCCAGTTCCCTTGAAACCCCTAACCCTTCCCCTCCTCACAACACCCAAAGTAACACCGTCTTCGCCAGTCATCCATCCTGGCATTTTCTCTCCATCCACTATTCCTGCTTCAACCAATTCTCGAATCCCCGCAAATACATGAGTTCCCTGGAATGTTATTCTGATATCTGGCTTCCACGCATCCCTCCCTCTTTCGTCCCTTTCTGCTTCATTTCTTCCCTCACTATCCTCTCTATTTAATCTATCAAACTCAGCTTCGATAGTACTTCTTCGCCCTTTGTTCTTCCCTCGTTGTCGCTCAGTGATTAGTTCATTTTCTGGTTCAGGTGTCATGGAAGCAAAAGAAGGAAAAGGGTCTTCGACACGAATATCGAGTCTCTCAATGCCCTTTCCGTCATTGGGTTTTGCAGAGTTTCTAAAACGAGCTTTTGCAACATTCTTTCGCCTCTTTGCTAATTCTGGCGCATCGTCTTCTCTGGGTCTTTTCATGTTTCTTGGTATTGCTTTCTCTTTGACAACGCTCTCCACTTGTTCCCCAGTCGGTGAGTCCTCTGTTGTTGGTAATATCGGATTCAATGGATTGTCCTTTTTATTTTCTCCTGCATAAAATTCCCATGCACCTCCTGCTGCGTTATGCCTTCCTCCTCCCCTTCTCTCGCACAACGCCTCCAAATTCTTCGTGGAAAATCCAGTACCCTCTAACTTGTACCTTTCTCCTGGCCTGCTAAATGCTTTAGGGATTCCATCTAGTGTCAGTTTCCGTAGACTCTTTGTGTCGGTTGCCCCATTGGCGCTCCCTGCTGTGGAAGTCAATGAAACATAAATATATGGCGAAGCATCTGGGAAAGCAATGTAAAATGTCTTGCTGGAGTCGAATGCCATGCTCGGTTTGTTAGAGCCCGATGAAAGCGCAAGTGATGTGTTATATGGCGAATCCAGTATATAGATTCTTAGAAGTAGTAAAGGTAAATTAGCATGACGATCGAGATTGTAATGAGCTTTTACATCTGGTAGCACCTCTTTTTGTAAATTCTGTAAGAATGTCGACGGATGGAATCGAGGTATTGCTGTATCTTTCTTTTCCTCCTTTGGAACTTCATGGTCGGGAGATGAAGATGACAACGGCACAATTTTGAGGGCAGTCCATTTCTGTGATGTAGGATGATCATAAAGATATTGCATATCTGCCATGGCTAATTGATATAGTGTGATCCCATGTCTCCAGTCTCCCTCCAGTATTCGATCAAGGACATCGCGCTTACTGCCTTTTTGTGTTATAAAGGAAGTATAGAGTTCGCTGAGAGAGTCAAGGGTAGCATGAGGTGGGTAGAGATCTTGCGCATAATCTGAGGCAGAATCCTCGGCTTCGAGAAGATATGGCGCGGTATTGATTTGATTACGTTCATCGAGCCAGTCGAGGGCTAGGGTGAGTAGGGAAGGTCGCGAAAGACGGGACAAAAGTTTGTGTACGGAGGGGTGCGTTGAAGGAACAAGCTGAGAGGGAGGAAGCGCAGAGGTAGTCGGTATAGATACTGCAGCCATGATTGATAGAAATAAGGTGGATACTAATAATCAAGCAACAGAAATCTCAGAATTGAACCATACCTTCATTATCGGTTTCGTTAATTCGCAGATATCTTTCTTGATGTGGCGTTTTGATATTGTGTGTCGCGTTGTGTGTCGCGAAATCATCGCGATCAGCTGATGTAGCGGAACTAGCACCGCACCCTAGTAGTCAATCATACCGACCCTCAACGTACGGAGTACAAAATGCATACAATTCAATGGCTTTTCCGCTTCGAACAAGCCAATATCTCCACTTATGATTAACATTGAATGTGCAATCATGAGCTAGCCACAATAAATGTCCTCAAAGCTGCTGGCATTTATGGGCTGAAATATCGTAAAGTTCACTAGTCTCAAGACTGCTAGGTAGCTCTAGAACAGTTATCGGAGAACCCAGAATGGGTTTTTAACGGCGTTCGAGGAAGTTGTCTCAAACGTCCTGTGAGAACAATGCACTACTTTTATCAAGTAATTTTGTCGAATTTGGTGACTAGCCCGACTTTTCCATCTCCATGTGTGTTGAGCCGGTAGACAGTATTTGGAACATCTTTTATCTGGATTCCAGGTACATCGTGAAGGACAAAATGATCCGAGCATGTGCAAAGCACTGGGTAGCAACACTTTTCACCAATTTTTCAACAAGGCGATTCCAGCTAATCTCATATCACACTCTCCCTCTAAGCGCAAGGGTTTCAAATAGTGTGTCTTGGCCATCTATTCTTATTTGGTAGCTCCAGAGTGCGAAGTCATTCGTGAACGGGGACTCCCAAATGGAGGCTGGTGTCATCTTTCAACCAGATATGGCAGCAACATACGGAAAGGAAATCACGCTATGTCTAATGGAAGTGGCCTAGCTGCACAGAATTTGTGCCCTCCATGGGTTCTTGGATCATTGCACTCCTCAGGACATTGCTCGGCGTTGGGTCTCTTTTCTTCTGTGAATTATATGTTGCCCTTCACACGAAATTCAGTGCCAAAATTATCAGATAAAATGAATCGGTGTATGAGTGCAACATCAGATGAATATCCCTCGGTTTCTAGCTGTACGAGTACATGTCGCATACCGGGCGGTCCGATCACACTGAATGAGAAAATCCAGATAAGAGCATGAATATAACACAATAAATCCCGTCACAAAACTAAGCTTCAACGTCTTTGTCGGACGAAAGTATTAAGCTCAACAGGGGGCGTCTCTTCAACACAATCCGTACAGATCATAGGTCAAATGCCTTTCTAAAAGGATCTTCAGCAGCTTCATGTTACCCCGCAATAATTAATACAGGGTTCGGTGAACCATCGTCTTCCCAACCTGTGCAGAGCTCCTTCTCTTTCGGACAACACGCTAGCGAGCTGCAGGCCATGCTGAGTCTCTCGTCACTGTCAATCTCCACGAAACTACCACAACATCAACCAAAGATCCTATTACCTTTTTCTATTTCTTGCTTATTTCTACACAAAGGCTATTCGGAGAACACAAGGATATAATATCAACTGTGTCGGGTCTATATAGATCTTCTTCGATAACTTTTACTCTCTTTCTCCTTATGACATCTACAGCTTTATTTTCAGAATCGAATATATTTAATATAAAGTTCACTTTTGAAGGCATGACTAGACTCTCTAATTCTCTTTAGCCTCTCGAAATCACTTCGTATCAACCTCTTGACGCTCTCTCGGACTTTGCAGATTTCTTTTTTCGTATCATTCCGTTCTTCTTCTACTCGATTGATCACTTTACTTTTTCTTCATTTCACATCAATATCCATCGCAAAATTTTCTCATATTGATAGTTGTTCTTGAACTTAAAGAAATCATCATTCCACAATTCGGTCTCGAATTTTGCTGGACAAACATCCATTTAGTTCGATCTAGTCTAGATTATCCGCATCAAAATTAGCCAGCTCCATACATCTATAAGCCCACTAAACATGGCTTCAAAGGGTGAAGCAGATGCTGAGAAAGCAACCAATCCCAAAGAAGGACAAATTAAAACCGAAACGATTGATAATTTTGCTCCTCAGATGAATGAAGGACGAGAAGCCGGCGTAAGTCCTAGTGTTATCCAGCCAACCACCGATGCTGTGACTAGAAAGGAGAAGGCGGTTAAGGCCAGTCTCCTCTTCTTGAACAAAGCTGAGAGTATCGTGGCTTCGCACACAATCATGTTCCCCGAGTTCAAACATTGGCAAGACCAACTCAGTATGTTGTCACACATGAGTATCATGAAGCCCAACTAACACTTTACTCTTGTAGAACAAATTCTTGATAGCATAGAAAGTCCTCGTGTACTTGTCGGGGTGTTGGGGTATACTGGGAGTGGAAAATCGTCCCTAATCAATGCTCTCATTGATGAAGAGATGGTGGTGCCACCCAATGCCATGCGTGCTTCCACGTCCGTGGTGACTGAAATCTCATGGAACGATTCAGAAGACCCGGAAAGAGCCTTCCGCGCTGAGATAGAGTTCATAAGTGAAAAGGAATGGAAAGCAGAGATGGATATCCTACTAGATGATTTAAAGAATGCCACTAAAGGAGAGGATGTGTCAATTAATACCGGCAGCGAGGCAAGCACGGCATTCGCAAAGATATCTGCGGTTTGGCCTGGAGTCACTCTAGACAAATTGAGAGGAATGACATCAGAGGAACTCTTTCATGAGATAGAAGGGGTTTCCAATTATTTGGATTGTAACTTGGATATCTCAGATAGTAAAGCTAAGTCATTCTCACAACAGATAAATTCTTATATCGACTCAAACAACAAGCAAGCTTCGTCGAAAGGAATATCCTACTGGCCTTTGGTACGTTGCGTTCGTATCTACACGAAAGCCAAGATATTGAGACATGGTCTCGTTCTGGTTGACCTGCCTGGCCTCGGAGATTCGAATACCGGGAGGACACAGGTCGCAGAGAGGTATGTGGAAAATCTCACATGTGTATGGGTTGTAGCCGATATAGTCCGCGCAATCGACGACCAGATTGCAAAGGATCTAATGGGCAAATCCTTCCGGAGACAATTACTCATGGATGGAAAATACGACGACAAGTACGTTACATTTATTATGACAAAGACCGACATGATCAACACTGATGAAGTCATTGAATCGCTTTAACTTCGAGAGCATGACTTGAAAGAGATTCTACTCCAAGAAGAAGAAACTTTGAAGCAGATCCATGATTGCCAAGAAGCGCTCGATCAAAAAGCTCTTAAAGTCAAGAGCATCAATAAAGCTTTAAAAACAATCATTAAGATTCACAAGTCTTCCACAAGTGACACGGCCATTCTGCGAAAACGCAAGCATACAGAAAACGACACGACCGATTTATTGCCAGATAATGAGGAGCAATCGTCTGCTGACTTAGAAACTCCAGAAAGAGAAATATTGGAAAGGAAGAACCTCGTGAAGAGAAGAGCTCGCTGTGTCAAATCTGTGAGAGCTTTGGAGAAAAGACTTGCTGAAATGAATCGCACCCTCAAGTTGATCAGAAAAGACATCCAAGCTGCGTGTACCCAGGCTCGAAATCGTTACACACAGGAGCATCTCAAAATAGATTTCGAAAACGGGCTTCGAGACTTAAAGCAGGATATTTTTCATGACATCACTGACAAGCACCAATCTGGGAATGAAGACGAAGAGGAGAAGAAAGAATCGGTTCATCATCGTGAGTCCTTCAATAAAACACCTCCCGGTGATCTTCTGATGTTGACAAGGGATTGCCATACAGAGGAACCTGTTAATCAGTTAAATGTTTTCTGTGTGTCTTCGAAGGGGTACCAGAAGCTTGCGGGTCGGTTCAAGCGCGATCGGATTCCGGAAGGCTTTGCGTCAGTAGATGATACTTTCATTCCAGATCTACAAGAATACGCAGCAGCTTCTACCTTGACGGCGCGAACAAAGATAGCCGATACTTTCCTGAACGATTTCAATCTCTTGAGATTGAGTGTCAAGTCATGGGCTGAAAATGGCTCCCCCAATTCATTGTCTTCCTCGCAGAAGCACAAGCTCCAAGCTATGCTGGAACAACAGCTAGCAATTCTCAACAAGGTATGGGCTCTTTCCAGTGTCATTTCCAATATCTAATTTCATCTAGTCTTTTGGCTGCGCCTTCGAGACTACAACGTTCCGCATTCGCGAGATCATAAATACAGATATCCTCCCAACTTTGAAAGATTGCATCGAAACTTCCACGATAAAGGCCAGGCAGACTTGTACAGACCTCACAGAGTCGGACACATCTTTTCAGACCTGGAAAGCAATTTGCCGCAGGCAGGGTAAGTTTAACAACAAAAAAAAGGTAAACTATGACTGGAATGGCATTTTCTTGGAACCATTCTTGGAATGTCTCGCCAACCCTTGGGATCGGGTTTTCAATGTTCAAATGCGGCACATCCATGATGAATATTCTAGAACTGTTGTCACAGCTATCAACACGTTCTCGACTGACATAAAACCGCTTCTCCACGATATATCAGAGGCTTCTGCATCAAATCTGCCTGTTGAGATTCTAGCCAAAATTCCTTATTTAGAGCGTAGAACAACAACTAAAATATCCGCGTCCATGGATTTTACCCAAAATCAAGCGCAAGAAATTCATCGATTGATTGAACCATTAATCCAACAGCACATGCGTCCTGCATATTATTCGTGTAGTCTAGAATCAAGTGAGTATTGCGATTTACTTAACAATGACATGATTTCTGACACATACATTTTTTCCAGATACAGGAGCCCTTGCTCGCATGAAAGAGCATCTTTTAAAACACATCAGAATGAATAACGAAAACATGTACAAGGAGGCATCTAAGTTGCTTAAGAAGAGATTGAATAAGATGACAAGAACTCTCGAGGGTTTGTTGTCAAAAAGTCATACTGACACGTCGAAGTACCTCCGAAAGGAAATTGAAGACATGATCATGGTGGCGGTTGGAGAGGATGATGAAGCTAGGGAGAAAGTCAGCCGAGTCAGAAATACTTTGTGTAATGATTTGATACTGGAGCTGAGTACTTTGGAATTGGCATGGGTTAGGAGTGCTTCTGAACCAGTGGAGAATCCTATGTCTCTCAACACTGATGGAAAGGTAGAAGATGACAGTGGTGAAGATGGCGAGGGCGATGACTTTACTTATGATTCTGATTGCAGTGACGGTGGTGAAGGTGCGGAGAGTACTAGCGACGAAGTGGAGGATTCTTGATTCAAGATCGTGATCTTGCCATCGGGATTGTGCGCCATCTGAGTTGGGCCATTAGGGAGATGAATACGTTTGTTTACAAGTTTCTTTCTCGCATCTTATCGGCAGTTCTTTATATTTCACAAGCCTCAGAATCCATATTTGACATTTATGGCGTTGATTTTATCTTCATAATTATTTTTCATTGAGGAAATCTTTTGTTGGACAACGGGAATAAGGTCTTACGCGGAGACAAGGAGATAGGCCCATCAAGCCGAGTTATTCATTGCCTACTTCTATATTTTTAAATTTTAGCAATAATGAATTTGAATGTCTTTTACAACCTGATGAGTCATCTAGGCTTTGGACGACAAGATGTATAGAAGTTACCAACATGAATTTTGACCAAAATAGATCTCATCACCACCCGCCTCTAGATTTTCCAGAAATTGATTGTTCTAGACCCACCATACGGATACCTCCGGAGCTTTAGCCACAGCCACTCAGACCTCTTTACATGAAGATGTTAACCTTTCTGAGCTTGAGAGCGTCTGAAATGACAGCGCCGCTTAATAGTGAATAGAATGCATTTGGGCCAAAAATTCTACTTCCGAGGCCAAAATTAAAAATACTAATCAAAGCAGCGACTTCCTATTCTCTCGGTGTAATGGAGTCCGCATGATATTCTTTAGCACCGGTATACGAGTAGGAATACGAGAGATCATGTAATTGGATGGGGATATCTTGGGAATGTCCATAAAAGCTCCGATTCTTTCAAACCCCGAGGATATTTTGAGGCATCAACACATGTAGGTTTATTGTAGCCTGTAGGGGTAGGAGAAAGAGGCGAGAAAGGCTCGACCAACAATAAAGAGAGGCTCGAGGGATTTCAAAGAAACAATCAACCTATAATGGACTCGTCATGCTCAATGGCGGAAAGACGGAATGAAAGAAAACTTGATCTTGTGAAGTGTTGTGAATGAAATGACAAAAGAATCGGAATCAATTACTTTATCCAATCACTGATCAAACACTTTGTTCTCTAATCCGTGAAGAGGAGAGAAAGAGCAAGAGGAGGTGAATAGACTGGGACGGAGTACCTACCGGTAGGTAGAATAGTAATCACGCCTTATGTAGTACCAATACAACAAGAAAGAGAGAGATACATCGACGCCCCAAATTTCGCACCTTCAACTTACTTTACTTGTATTGAGTCTGGAAAATATTTCCCATAACAGAAGTCGATTGATCTGAAAGCAAATAATACCTAAACATACATTCTCTCTTTACATACCTCATAAAACCCTATCTTCTGGCTGAATAATAGCAGCAGCTCTTTTATTACTCTTTACTCTTTACTCTTTACTCTTTACTCTTTACTCTTTGAAATTTGTCATCAATCGATCAATCTAGAGTGGGGCAATCCTCAAGCCAGACTACTTTTCGTAGAGTCCTGGTGGTCTAAACATCTCGAAAACCCACCAAAACCCACAATCCACGATCCACAATCCGTAATCACTCCGGAATTTATCTCTTCCACTTTAACAACTCGACAACTCAATCCCCAACCTTCAATCCTCAATTCTTCTCCCCAGATCATACTAACCGAAGGGATTTATCATACATTTTGTTTTCAAGGAAATCACATCCACCATCATTCACATCGATTCCTCGAATCCGCGGACCTACGAGACAATCAATTCAATCTAGTCCCTTTTTTCCATCAAAAATTCGGGCGCAATTCGGAGAACAAAGAAAAGAATTCGAATAACTTTTTCATCCCCTCCCACCTTCCAACCCTTCCAAAAACTCCCATCGAATGAATTCATCTGCAACATCAATATCATAGAGACGAAAAGACTACGAAAGTCACTTCATATTCTCGGATACATACTTCAAGATGGCATACAATGGTCGGCGGGGTCCGAATGTATCGGAATACATCGCGAATCTCAACGCAATCCCAACACCACAAGATCTACACAATTCCAATCAGGATACCTACAATGTAGATGATGAATTGGCTATGTTCACGAACACCGAATTTTACGACATCGACTCGGTTTTGCAGGCACCAAACTTTGATGGAGTTGGAGCACAATCGACTGCGGATAGTGTCGATTTGGATTTGAAGGACATAGATTTCAGTCTTCCAGGTCAGAGATAACCCCATTTCTCCACTGTTTTGCTGTCAAATTTCTGTACTTTTATCATATCGACTTTCTCCTTTCTTGTGCTTTTTTTACACAGTATCTTTAGGAGAACCTGTTTCCCCTCTATCTTGTGGACGGGTACTAGACACACTTTTAAGCACAAGTGTGTACATCATGTCAAAATATTCGGTATAGGACCCTTTCACATGGGCTGCTTTGATCAATTTTCTATTTGAGAAGTTTCACTGGTCAGCTTTCGGCCAATACCTTTACCTGCACATATCCACGTGCACCTAGATTGCATAGGATGAGTATAGTTCTTATCCTCTTGCATTACCTTTCTGCAACGTTCCTCGAACCCTTCCCTCCTTCCTTCTTACATGCTTTGTAACACTTTCATTGTGCTGCTTGGTAAGCGCGCACAATTACCGAGTGATGGCGATATATCACGTGTCGTCATATAACAATGACTAGGGCAATCGATAATTGCTCCACTCTTTTGTCTTCCCAAAAGTCATTAGTGTATCTCCGGTCTAATCCTCGTTTCTTACCCGTTTGCCGTCGCTTGTTGCAGTCTACCTGCAGATCTACAATATAATTCCACATTTATTTCCCTTCTCAAGCATCTTCTTTAAAAAAGCAGGCAAAGCTAACATCATGATGCTCCATTCAGGTGATTTCAATTTCTCAGACTTCAACACCTTCACCAACAACCACCCTACCAATTTCGGTAATCATGATGGCATGCCTCCGGTAATTCATCCAATTCAGACGAACCATCAAATCTACAATCCTCCTCCCTCATCCGCCGGCTCTCCTACATCTGCCCTTGTCCCCCCTCAAGTTGGAGAAAAGCGCAAAGCTGAGTCTTTATCTGATGGACGATCCCCCGACTTTGAAGATGCATCACGTATGGCCGCGGAAGAGGACAAACGTCGAAGAAATACGGCCGCTTCAGCTCGCTTCCGAGTTAAGAAGAAGCAACGCGAGCAAGCTCTTGAACAATCAGCGAAAGCTATGAGCGATAAAGTTGCAGCTTTGGAAGGACGTATCAATCAATTGGAAACCGAGAACAAATGGTTGAAGAACTTGATCACGGAGAAGAATGAGAGCAAGGAAGATATTGCCGCATTATGGAAAAAGTACAACAAGGATGCTGGTGACAGGAAAGGCGCTGAACGCAAAGATGGTGTGGGCACAGAAGCTTAAATTGTCTTCTGAAGATGATTTTTTTGTTCATTTGTGCTCATACGTTTCTTGTTTGGTCTTGCGTTTTGCGTTTGCGCCAGTTTGCGCTTGATTGAATTCGCGCCATGGTTGTTTCTGGGAGGTAATTTTCACATATATCACAGCTTGGGATTGGTACATATTTGAATATGTTGGTGGAAGATGATGGTACGATGGCATGTGGTTGATGGATGATTGAATGAAAGCATAACTGGAGTTCCGGATAGTAAAATTCCTCCTGTTCTCATCTCTCAAGTCTACTGGTAGATTTACAGCTTGGATTCACAGCTACTGCTCCGGCATGGTGTGTAACTTGGCTTACTAGACAGTTAGCTCAGTCAAACAAAATAAACTAAATAAACATACAACAAGTTACCTACCTAATTCGTAAATACACATCATTGTGGGATCACAATTCATATTTAGTCTTACATGCATTTGAGCACGCCATTGCAGTGACAGCTTTAATCCACCGCATCTAACCATAGCCGTAAAAACGATGATCCGAATCCCCAAGTTCCCCGTTGAATAAAAAAACATCATAACCCCTCCAGATTGCGTGCGTGGGAATTCAAAACTCCCCTCCAAAATGCCATCCGCTCCGGCATTCAAAAAATCTACGCGTACCGGATAGAAGATGACGTTTTTGATGGGGGTTGTGGGGGATTAGCCGGTATGGAGTTGTGGATTGCCATGGGGAAATGAAAATTAGCCGATTATTGCAAGGGGCTCCGGCTAATTTTTTACCGGCGACGTGTGGGAACCGGTATATGGGTGTTTATTTTGACTACGATGGTTGTTTTTGGGTGAAAACTTTTGTATGCACTGGAAAAGAGTCTTTTAATTTTGGCTTGGGCTGCGAAGTGATTGTTCTTTTATGGTTTGGAGGACGAATGATCTGTTGTTATATAGATTATGACTAGCCGGTTGTTAGCCGGTGCAGCTAGGGTAAGGGGAATGATGCTGTGAACGTTGACATTCGGATTGATCTTGTTGTTTTCGTGTGTTGAGTAGGTGATATAGACTCTAGAGACTTGTTATGATGTTCACTTGGGGGTTGAACTGGAAGGTTTCACGTGTATGAGTGCGGTGAAAACAATGTGATGTGGATGAGCTGGGAATTCGCGCACGCATGGTTCTCTTTGGGCTAGTAAAGGTAAGATATTTTGCATTGTGGAAAGGCAATTCGCACGGAGAGCTCTTGGATATCCACAGTCTTCGAATGCAATCCTCTCTGAATGAGCGCCAAACACCAGAGTTACGAATGGAAAGCAATAGCTATCCTTCTTGCACTGAAGTCCCATTTTGTCCGAGATGGAGTAGCTTGAGTAATTTGGTGTTGGGTATGGCGAATACCGCTCATCGTTGACTTCCTCGGCTTGTGTGTTTTCTCCCGACGATGCAAGCGGACATGCATTGCGAAGGCTACGGACAGGGCGAAAAAGGTCCTAGCCAGGACAGTATCATGAAGGAAGGAGGATGAAGGAGAAAGGAAAGCGACGACAACGCCGAAGAATCAATGTTACCAAGTCAATTGAAAAGGATTTGCCGGTTCACCGCAGAGGGTCCTGCACCGGTTCTGGCAACATGCTTGCGATTCCAGTGCAGAAGGAGAGTCAAGGGTCATAATTGAAGAAAGGTGTTCTGGTGTCATTCAACCGCCTCGGAAGTGGAGTATTATGGCTTTCGACATACTCTGATAATACAACTACAAGATTCTCAAGTCCAAACGGAAAGGTGTCTAAGGAAGGCATGGGTACAGTTATGGTCAGGTATGATTCACTTGTATGTTTGCCTGGACAGAAACTTTTTGTTGATATTTATGAAGTAAATCAGTACGTGGATATCCTCCTGAGATGTTACTTATCAGAAAGCTAGGACAGTGCAATAGGAAGTCTCATATTGCCCTTTTTTTTAACACACCGCTCTAGACTAGACTGCGGTGGTAACTTAATACAGATCGAAATCAAAACACCTCCCAATTTCCAGATATAGCAAGAGTAACTTTAGTCCTTGAGCTCAGCTCCCATGGAATACTCTTCACGGGACATCCCTTTCTCTCGGGTACGATAGTCCCGAGATCCGAGGTCTTCGCCCCGAAAATAATCAACCGATTCCGATAACGAAAGTGAATACTGTAAAATCCCGCACCTCGAAAAGTTTGAAACAGTTCGAACAAAGAATTTACCCATCTCCATAGAGCTCAAACCGACCCACATTTTAACTTCATAGACCTCAAATAGAAGGTCCCCCCTCCCGGCTCTCCAGCTTCCCAGCCTACTGACCTCAAATTCATTGAGCATCATTTTCCTCACTCTCGACCCGTCGAAGACTGCAATCTTGATCCTTACCAAGAAAGACACAATTCATGCAAGCGCCTTTGAAATGCTCTCCAGCCGGAATGGCGGCGTCAATAACGACACAGCTTGCAAAGGGTACATAACCATCTTCCATGTGGTCAGCGCAATGTGTGCAAGCCATTTCTTGTTCCATTTCGGTGCCAGCAGCCTGTCCTGCACAAGCACGCCAGTGCTCAACATTCGTGTCGGCGATCTCACTATTCTGAGCGATATACTCTCGGACTGGGATGATGAGTTGCTCAATGCTGAGTTTGCTCAATTGACTGTGGATGGGATCAGGAAGGAACGGAACATTCTCGACAACATGCGAACAGAACTTATCCGTAATATCTGAAGGCTTTGGTCCTGAAGATGTTGGCCCGGAAGTTCGAGGCTTCTTTGGTGAGTTGCGAGGATGGATAATTGAATGGTCATCAGAGCCATCGTCGGACTCAATCATATCGTCGTCGTCAATCTCATAGTGAGAATCCTGCGCCGATGCTATTGCTTGATGCCTACGCTTGCTGCCGGCGGGTGTCATTCGAATATCTTCAGAAGTATCAGTCGCCATACCACCGGCAGCTGTACGAGCAGCAAGTTCCCTCCTGCGACGCTCGATCTCGATTTGCATGTCATCAAATTTGGTCTTCTTTTCGAGACTGCGACGCTCATCCTTTATCTCTCCAGTTTCAATGAAAACAAGCATGGGATCCTTGGTACGCCTTTCCAGTTCAAACTTTAAACCGTCATTACGACCTGTATCGTACTCTTGGAAGAGATGTGGCTTCATGTAATCTTTGAAGATGTCTTCGCGCATCAATCGATCAACGCACGCCACTTTATCGAGAAAAGGCATCTTGGTGAGCGCTTTCAGGAAATCTTCTGCTGGTTCGACATTGGCAAAAGCAGCGGCTTTGGCGTTCAATCTACTTGGAAGATCGCGATCAAACCGGTTTTTTGGGATTCTTGGCTGTGGAGCAAGTTGGACTCGATGTGTTCTCCGCCGACGTATACGCGGGCTCTGCTGTGTATATGGAGTACCCGATTGCGCAGATTGTCGGTCGGGCTGTCTCGGCTGTCTCGGCTGTCTGTCTCTCCGTGTGAACTGCTGTTGTGTTGTCACAGCTGGCGGGGCAGATGCAAGAGGTTGCATTGGAGGTCTGGCAATTTCTCTCAATCTGGCACTACCGCTCGAAAAGGATGCCGATTTACGTTGCTTGACTGGCTGCTGAAAAGTATTTTGGTGTGAACGCTCGGGATGTACGAACGTCACATGAGGCTCACCACCTGGGTAACTGCTATCAAATGCAGGGACAGTTACACGGCGCTCACTTGGCTGCTGTGCAACACGATTAGTCTGACTTTCAGCTTGTTTCTGTCTCATTCGCCAAGACTCGGTACGGAAACCAGTAGGCGATGGATTGGTATCATGGAGCTCTTGGGCTGGAATGGGAGAAGTGTCGCCGAGTCTGCGGCTACCAATAGCTCCTAGTGCGTCCTCGATCAGTGCACCACTCTGTTGAGGTGCTCGTGATGTATTGATAGAAGGAGCCTCATACTGTGCAGCTTGCTCCGAAAGTTGGCTTGGAACTCGTACTCGTTTTTGTGACTCTCTGGCATCACGAAGTGAGGTAGATACTGGATCGCTGTGTCTACGTCTATCTGAAGTTATCGGTGATCGTGTGCTCGATATATCACTTTGTTGACATGGCACTGGTATATTAGCAGAGGTATTTTGACCTAGGCCATCATTCTGCGTCACTTGCTGTCGAGGTTGCGCTCCTTGACGAGCTCCAGCATCTTGAACCAATGTACCGGAGGGATCGTTTCGGATGTCATCGTATGGTTGTAAGGTCGGGATATCGCTGTCAATCGCCGGGCCTTTTGATGAGCCATCGTATTGCCAGTTACCAGAATATGCCAAAGGAACAGTTCTCGGCGTCGCTCTAGACAAAGGGTTCAAAGGTAATGGTATATCAAGACCAGTGCCGGTGCATGAAAGTTCTTGTTCAAATATCCAATGACCTGCAGGTGGCGCGCTCAGTGGACGGTTAAGTTGAGCTGTCATTGTTTCATTGAAGAATCCAGCTTGGTATTTTCCACCTTGAGACGATGACTCTTGTTGTGAAGCTTCACCATCTTGGGTGCTGCTAGCAAACTGAGTGCGAGTGTCAAAGGGAGGATTGTCAACCTGAACTGAAGATTGTAAACCTGCAGGAGTATCACTGCCAACAGATAAATTGTTATTTGTTTGATAATTTGATGGGACTGGTGTTCTGGAGCCAGTAGTGGTGGAGTCCATGCTATTTATCTGATATCTTGATGGGACTGGTGTTCTGAAACCAGTGCCGGTGGAGTCCATGCTATTTATCTGATATCTTGATGGGACTGGTGTTCTGAAACCAGTAGTGGTGGAGTCCATGTTATATTCCTCGAAGAATTCGCCCATTGGCGTATCCTGTTGCGAGATAGAGGAATTACCACTTCCAAAAGCGTTCTGGAGGCTCGGATTGTAGAGAATCTCGTCAGGAGTAGGATGAATCTCAAGGCCTGTCATGTTTGGAAGTTCTCCATTGACCCGTGTATCAAAGTTGTCTACATTTGAGCTATATTGGTGAGGCGATCGTGGCATTTGAGGTAGGACCGCAGTATTCTGGCATAAACCCGAGCTCGGGTACCAGCCTTGAGATGGACCTTCTACTTGTTGGCTGTTATCATAGGGCCACTCTGCTTGGAACTTAGTGGGGGTCGGATTCGTGGAGGACGTTTCAGTGCTCGCAGTGGCTTTTACCCCTTCTATAAGACACAATCAGAAACCAAAGATCCCCATGCAGAGAGAGCAAACGAGAGCAAACGAAGAAATATCGACAGATTCGGGAACCTACCAGTTACGTCATTGCTAGTCGAAATTGCGATGGGATGGGAGACTTGCTGGTTGTTGTACCAACAGATGTCATCTCCTCCGTTGTGATTGTAAGACATCTTGCTGATGGCTTCGTGTATCTTAGTTGCAGTTTTTACAATGCTTCATGGTATAAGAACAAGAAGGCTAGCTACCGTAACAGAATGTGTCAGTCTTAGATAGGTGGGCAGTGGTAATTATTTCCTAAGAGTCGACTTTCTGTTCAAGGTAGTTGAATGATGGGAAGGAAAGAATTGGAATTGTTGATTGAATAAATTTTAAAGGTCTGATTATCTGTGGAAAGATTCCTTAGAGTCCTGTTGAGTCTTGAGAGGGGACCTGATTGCTATCTTAAATAAAAAATACTTAGAACGCTAGGCTAACATTACGGCAGCTTGCTAGACGAAAACGAGACATTCAACTTCAGACTGTGAATTATTTTCTGGAATAGATCTCCCAAACATATGTGCTTTCTTTCGGGCAATTTGATTGGTGCTACTCCGAAGGTACATTTCCATATTACCTTCACATTGTGAATTTCTAGAAAGACTTGTACAGGTTATCTGGTGCATCTCATGAGTTCTTTAGTGGAGCAATCTCATACTACTTCACAGAGGTTGACCAGTTCAGAGGTTTTTTTATGTACATGATGACCACACAAGCATATGGTACAGGACACCAAAGATAATTTATACTGCAGGAAAGGATGTTTCTTTATGGTGTAGCCTTTTTATACATGCATTCACAATCTGTTTTCCATTTGCACACTATTCCATACCCCAATTCTAAAGGGAAGTTCGATGAAATTAGCCAGCTTGTGTGCTTTTCATCATGTGTTGGCTTACCATAGAATGTAAGGATGTTTTGAAAATTCATTCAAGATGTGTGAAAGAACAATTGACAATGCAAGCGAGCTATATGAGAGCATCTTGGCCTCCTTTCAAAAAATCGGATAAATTTACCGGTAGGATACTAGTTCTTCCATTATTCAAATAGCCAAAGCAGATACAACAGCAAGTATGAAAACAACCGTAGTCAACCATCACAATAAAATAAACACAAAGTTGTTTTCCAAGATATTGCATAGGTGTAGAGAATCCACCAATGGGGGTGTCACTCGAATGGGAGCAAAATAGCAATCCTCTTTTTGTTATGAAACGACTAGGGGACAAAAAGTTGATGCACTCTATGAGGTGAGTCTCTTCAACAACTTCTCATGCCATCAAGCATTTGGAGAGCAAGGGAAGGGTTGAATCAGGATGATTTTGACGATCTACTTGGGTACCGTTTCTTCTATACTCAATATTTCAGCAACCTGATTGAACTCCACTGCAAGCATGACACAAATCATTGGAGTAATAAGGCTTGATGGCCTTTATTCCCTCCCGCTTTTCAAAGTTATATTGCTAGCAATCAGAGTATCATGTCAACAACAAATAAATTCTACGCCCAAACTTCGAGTCGCGTGACTAGTGACTTGTGATTGTGTTGAGTAAGCATCAGCAATGAAGCCACTGTCGGCATAATGCTGACGGACACTTGCTGGCCGGGATTTCTTTACGCAATGCCATGACGTTCCAGGCTGATAGTCAGGTTATTCAGCATGTTATGCTCTTGCATTTGAACCAAAATGTGCTTTTTGTTCTCAAGAGTGTGGCATTTCACGGAACATATCATTCCATTGTTTCAAATATACAATTTCAGCCTTATCTTGACAAAGCTGTTGATCATCTATGCATGTCAGTTAATATCCGGCAGCCACATGGTCTTGTGTTCTTCAGATGGGATTGGAGTTTCCCATGGGTGTCAGTGATCATGAGAATTGCGCCTTACAAGCCACTGAAACATCCTGTCCTACTTGATGTTGAGGATATCAGAATCTACTGCACGACATATCCACATTTAATAGGTAATCGGACCGTCGCCCTACTCATGCCAAGAATGCGACGAGTAGAGAGAGAAATGATGTGGTGAGATTTGATTTGACTGCTGGCAAGTGACACGGTTTCTGGTCGAAGAAGTTCAGCCTAAGAATATCCTATGCTTTGCCTAAGGTTCCCCAAAGCCTTGATCTATACTTGCTTGATATCAGGGTTGAGAGAGTGAGCAAGTGGATGGATGAGTGAGTGAGTGGGTGTGGCATCTCACATCGGCGATTGTGGTGGTGATATTGAAAAATGTATGAGAGTGAAATGGGGTTGAAAGAGGTAGGATTGAAGTGTCAGGAGTTCACTAACTGTTACTTCTTGATAATCCATCAAGAAATGAAGGAAGTGGCGACACGTGATCACCTGATTGACATTGGGCATTGAAAGACTTGACCAATCATTGATCTGAAAATCAATCACAAGCGCTATTTTACGCGTTAAACGCTATCTGGCTTCTACTTTAGTCTGATCCATAATTGTTTCGCGAAATGATAACTACCAGGTAATGCTTTGAGTTTGACTGACTTGTCCGCCACTAGCAAAATAAGCTCCGCCATGACTGAGATAAGACAAAACTTCGCAATCATGTCGAACTTCGTTCCTTTAATATTCGATAACATATTCTCCGAGCTTAAATTTCAAGCTTGTGAATTACAGTCGTCACTTTTGAGGGTTTCCAACAATATCAGAGCAAAGATCGCCCGAGCTCCACCCCTGTTACATAATTTCAAGGGTTTATGGCATTTGAAGTAACTAGCGGTCTTGTCTTTGTCACTGTTTGTTCGTCCCATGCGGTCAGAGGAATAAATCATCTCGAGAAGTACAAGTATGCAAACGATTTTGGTATCAAGTTGATATAACTATCATATGCTGATACAATCAAACTAGATTTACAGTCTTTCAACATGAGCGGAATTAGCTTAGGCCGTCTTCGCTGGGTCTTTATGCTCTGGATCTTGCACCGTGTTAGCTCTTCCACTGTAACAAACACTGGCAATCGTGGAGCAGTGGCAAGTGAAAGCAAAATATGCAGTGAGGTTGGAGCGGAACTTATAGAGAGAGGTGTAAGTGAGTCCCCTTTTGGTAATTGATTTGAGACTTATCACGTGGGTTGTATAGGGAAATGCCGCAGATGCTATGGTTGGTACCACTCTATGCGTTGGTGTCATCGGTAAGGCAGTTCCTCATTTTTAAGAATCGCGCCCCAGTATTAGGCTTACAGGTTCTCTTAAGGGATGTATCATAGTGGTATAGGTGGAGGGGGCTTTATGCTAGTACGTAGCTCAGAAGGGGAATACGAAACCATAGGTAAGATGCACGGAAGGCTCACTTTGTTTCACTTAGCTTACACTCCAGTAGATTATAGAGAGACAGCTCCAGCCGCTGCATATCGAGACATGTTTAAGAAAGATCGCAGCAGAGCCGTGGTCGGTGGAGATGCAGTTGCTGTTCCAGGTGACCTTCGAGGACTTGAATATCTTCATAATAAATATGGGGTATGTACTTCTTAAGTTTGAGATGATAACGCTTAACTGATATGCACCAGCAACTACCTTGGCAAATCGTTTGCAATCCAGCTGTGCATATTGCTAGAAATGGTTTTCCTGGTATGTAGCTTCCACAATTTTTCATGTACGTCACTAATCTGGACTAGTGACGGAAGATACAGTTTACTACATGCAAGCAGTTAAGAATCAAGTCGGTTGGAATTTCCTTGAAGAGGACCCAAACTGGGCTATGGACTTCGCTCCGAACGGCACACTCCTTGAATTGGGTGATATCATGAAAAGAGAGCGATATGCCAATACGCTAGAGACGATTGCTAACAAAGGAGCTTCGGCATTCTACGAGGGGAAAATTGCGGAAGCAACCATTGCAACCATAAAGGCCACAAATGGAACCATGACTTTGGCCGATCTCAAAGATTACGAAATCAAGATTCGTAATCCCATCAACATCACTTATCGTGGCTACACAATCCATTCAACCGGCACTCCCTCCGGTGGTTCTATAGCCCTGAGCATCCTTAAGACCATAGAAGGATATGACATGTATAAAGAATCCGATTTATTTCTGAATACCCATCGACTCGATGAAGCCATGCGTTTTTCATATGCCGCTCATTCCGAGCTAGGAGACCCGTCATTCTTTGACGAGATGGTTAGATTCGAAGAAGGAATCATTTCAGCTGAGACTGCAGAGTCTAATAGACGAAAGATCCTAGACGATAAGACACAAGACGTTGGAAGGTACAATCCAGAAATGTGGGATATCATGGGAAATCACGGAACATCACATATGGTTGCTACCGATGCCTCTGGCCTCTCAATAACCTCAACATCAACTGTCAATTTACTTTTCGGTTCTGCCGTTATGGTTCCCGAGACTGGTATGTTATCCTGCACAATTCTCTTCTTTTCTTTTTAGTTCATCAATTGCAGAGCTAATCTTTCTCTTCGCCCACGTTTCGAAAACATATTGAATCAGTAATTTTGCTAACAATTTTATAGGGGTGATTCTTAATAACGAGATGGACGATTTCTCTATCCCTGGCGTTCCCAATTATTTTGGTTTCGTCCCTTCACCAATGAACTATGTTCGTCCTGGGTAAGTCCGAGCCTCCCTTTTCGTACAGATCTACCAATCATTAACCATTAACATTAGGGCCCGCCCCATGAGTTCCATCTCCCCCATCCACATCTCCCACCCCAATGGCTCCCACTTCCTTTCCATCGGCGCCGCCGGTGGATCACGAATCCCCACGTCAACAATCCAAGCCGTCATCAACATAATCGATCACGGCATGTCTCTCGAAGAAGCACTAAAGCAACCTAGAATGCATGATCAATTACTACCCGAAAAAACGACCGTAGAACCGGGATTTGACGAAGAATTGCAGGAATATCTGGAGGAAAGAGGACACAAAGTTGGGAAAGCAAGCGGAAGAGAGAGTGCGGTACAAGGTGTGAGAGTTTGGGGTGATCTTTCGGTTGAAGGGGAAGGATTGGCTGGAGAAGGATGGCTGGAGGCTATTGGAGAGCCGAGACAGAAGGCGAGTGGGGGAGTTGGTGTATGAGTGTCTTGAAGAAGCTGAGTTGGTGGAGGCGGATGGAGGAAGTTGCGCTCCGCGCGGTTAAATTGCACAAACCTCCTATTCCACGACTGCGAATCTTGGTTGGGCTTCAAATAATGAAGCTCATGATTTAGAACGAAGATCTTTAGAATTTGTTTTCTTTACGGAATGGCCGATAGAATTTTGGATGAGGTGTATGGAAAGAATATGGATATAGTTAGAGGTGGTATCACTCAGATCAACTACTAGATTTGCTTACAAAGACAGACGGGTCCGCATCTACCACATTACCACATCAGCGAAATCATAGAAACAGCATATACAGTCAATCATTTATTTATCTTAGACGAGAGAGTCTTTGATCTGATGTCGTCATTTCCCTCCACCTGAAACCTACAATGTTAAAGTATCGTCTGAAGTAATACGTGGATAGTTTCTTATATATTTACTATATATTTATTTGCATATGTATTCTATCGATTCCTGACCACCAACAAGTCATAACATTGAAACATGACGATATTCAATCCTGACTTTCTATTGAGTTCTCCTAATTCCTTCCCATTTCCTCCTTAATGTCACCAACTCCTCCATACCTACAATCCACTTCTTCGCAAACTCCGCTTCTGTAAATCTCTGGGCCGATTTCCTCGCTCTCAATCTCATCGCTATCTTATCTTCTCGTGGGAGTGCTAGTGCGCTCTCGAACCCTTCAGCAAATTGCTCTATTGTTGATGCATGAAAGCCTACATTCAGGAATTAGTTATGCTCCAAACAAGCGAGATGGAAAGGGGTAAGAAGAAAGAGGCTGAAACGTACCTGTAGGCAAACCATCAATTTTTGTTACAATATCTCTCTTTGGGCCACCACTGTCGTGAACAACACTAATCAATCCTGCCGCCTGGTACTCCACAACTCCGATTCCAAAATGTTCATTCCACATCCCGTTGACTCCAATACTTGCTTTGCCTAACCATTTCAAAATATCCGGCCAAGGCGCATCCAAATGAAATTCAACATCGTCTTTGACTTGTAGTTCGTTTGCCAGCAGGCGCAGTTGATATACGCGCTTTGAATCTGAGTCATCGCGAACACTCCCGATGAGAATAAGTTTCGCGCCTTTAGCTGCTGGGGATTTAGTTGCTTTGAAAGCGGCGAAGGCGGTTAAAATGAGTGTATGATTTTTCTCGGGGCGGAATTGCGCAATATAAAGAAGAGCTGGCTGGCGTATTGCCTCGGATTCGGGGGTGACAGAGATCTTCTCCTCGAGCTCTTCGACGGCTACAGGAGGGAAGACTGCTGTTGCGATGGGCTTCTTCAATTCGCGTCGCCATTCTCCCCATAGTGATGTTATATGATCGAGCGTCCAATTAGAATTTGTGAGAACTACATCAATTGATGCTCCGACCCAGGTATAAAATTTCGCGAATATGTTCCAATAGAGCTTCTTTGCTTCCCCTCTTAATCCTGTTCCCTTTCCAGCATTCACCCCTTGCTGCCCGGTGGCAGATGTAGGATCTAAAGAGCCTAGCATGTCTGTCGAAATGGTTGGATAATGTACGTATGCTCCAGTCGGTACTTCGGGAAACAAAATCTTGCAGAATCCAAGCGCAAAAGCATAGCCCATTGTATCAACAAAAATATCGGGGACAACCAAAGAGAACGCATCCCATGCAAGTATGAGAGATCCGATTGATTGGCCTAGAAGTGTGAAATGGGGCCATGTGGAAGCTAAAACCCAATGTCGGGTTGTGAGGTATAAGAAGGTAATCGTTGGAGGATGGAGTTGAATATTGAAACGATCCTATTAGCTATAATCAGCCGGCGCATTCTGTGAGCATAGTAGCCATTATATACCTTCACTCTAGCAATGATCTGCGACTTATCCACATCATGATCTCCAGTATAGACAATACATTTCGCATTTGGCCATCGCTTTTGGGTTGCTAAAACTGCAGCCCATAAAACACGTTCACCACCACCTCCAGCATTACTGAATTTATATTAGCTAAGTCAGTTTGAATTCAAGCAAAAGGAATATCTTCATACCAGAAGGGGTGAAAGAATCCAACAATCCCATCCCATTCCTTATCATCCTTCCCTCCCGTTCCATTCGTAGATTCTATATTCTCCCAATCATCACTACCTCGACTCTTTTCCTTGTTCTCTCTATACTCCCTCTGATCAATCTCCACCCTTTCCAAAACTTGAGCTTTCCTCCCAGCTGTCTTTTGCCTCAAGTAGAACCCCACCGTGCGTCCGACGTAACCTACAAGCTTCGGGCCTGCTAAAAGAATAATCAAAGGTGTCGCACCAAGAATCAAGGCTACTGAAATTGTCCATTTGGTATCCAGCCCAAATGTCCACATATCGCTACCGTCTGAAGCTTTGCATGATTCCGCCATAACTTTTTGAGCGTACAAGTAAGAAGAGAGGGCAGGGGGGTTTTATCTCGAGTTTCCAGGATTACTGTGTCACTTTAGCTGTGACGCGCAGGCGGTGGAGCGTGCGGCCGCGTATACCGATGCGGGACCTCTTTTTTCAAGGATGACATGTGAATGGAACTTCCGACTTGAGAAAATCAAATGTTCAAAGCCATGTTGACCAGAATATTGAGAAATTGGTCGTTGCCTTTGATTTGATTGTCTCTCTAGGGCGCAGAGAATAGAAGTGAAATCATGATGTCTATATTGTATCGGTCGGCCCGCTCATCAATGCACCCTTCTACCAGCTCAAAAATCCCGAGATTATTCTTGCAACTTCCTCCGACTTATCGATCATTCCATGCCTCCCCACGAGCCCAGTCTCTCGATTCTGTTTTAATAGCTACACATGGAGTTCTAGAAGGACTGCACTCTTTTACTGGCCTGCCATGGGCTTTTACACTACCTCTCACTGCGTTAGCTATCCGGACGGTCCTTATCTTTCCACTGGGCATCAATTCACGACGAGCTGCGCAAAAACAAATCGACTTAATGCCCCTCATGAATGCCTGGCAACATCAATTTAGAAAACAATCAATACAAGAGGTTGGCCATTTAGGGCCGGATGCGGCAAATCAGTTTGTTAAGGATAAAATGAATAAGAAGAAGAGAGAACTCTATTCAAGATACAATTGTGGTACTTGGAAACATTATCTGCCATTTTTGCAATTGCCCGTCTGGATGATCGCGGTAGAGACGATTCGAAAAATGTGCGGCGCACATGATGGGTTATTGAAATGGATCGAATCGCTGTTCACATCGAGTAAAGCAAACGAGGCAACGGCTACTACGGATTTGGACCTGGGCTCTCTACTATTAGAGCCGACCTTCGCGACAGAAGGGGCATTGTGGTTTCCCAATCTTCTCGTTCCGGACCCAATGTTGCTACTACCTTTCATGCTCTCTGGGTCCATTCTATTAAATCTCACAAGCCAGGGGAAACCTAAGAGTGTATTCATGAGGAGATTAATGAATTCGTTGAAGGTAGTCGCTCTTGCAATTATTCCACTTACATTGCAGATGCCAAGTGCAATGTTGGTGTATTGGACATCTTCCTCTTTGCTTGCTTTTGGACAAGCCAAGATGTTGGATGTTCTTATACCGATTAGAAAACCTGTAGTACCATGTAAAGGGGGCCAGCCTGTTAGATATGCAGGTACCAGGGAGAGGAGTTGAAGATGTAGCATGGTTGCTACGGGCAATAGGCAGTAATGATCTAAATGACTGATATACCCTGTGAGAGATGAATAATGATCGGCGTTAGAGTCAAGAAAGGAATGAAGCATGCGATTTCGGACTTGAAGGATTGAGCAGCGAAACATAACGCATATTGGCAGCACAAAAAGGAGTGGAACGTTGGTGCGAGCAAATGGATAATTTGAGACGAATCTAATCGTCGACTGCGGGACGCAAATCAGTAGTGCAAAAGCTACCTAGTACGATTAGATAGCTGTGCTTTTTCCTAACCATTCTAACTGTCAAAGTACGTTCCTAGCCAACATTCACAATACGTAGGCAATTTGTGACATATAATATACTGCCACAACTTTTCTCTTGCCCTCGCCCCCATCTTCCTACAGATATATATTACAGGAAGATAATGAATTAACTGGATTCACTCATGTAACTTTTCAGCCTTTTAGTCAAAGTTCCAATCACTTGCTGCCCATCCTTGTTCCAATAAAAAACACGCTAGCATAGTGATTGTGCACGCTAGATTACCAATTAGCACTTATTTCCAACGCGTCCTGGCGAAGTGTGGAAAAGTCGCGTAAAGTGTTCCCTCTTAAAAACACTTGGGATCCATTCTCATAAACTCTTCCTTTGTTTTTTCCTCAAGAACGATCTCCGCCTACATTTCAATCTACAATACATCCTCTCTTTTTCTATTCAAAGGTTGATTGATTGTAGGCTTGACTGTAATCAAGTTTCTTTATTATTTCTAATTTAATAGTGGTTTGCTTTCCACTCATCTTTTCTCTTCACCGTCCGGTTTGATTAACCCCTCCAAAATTTACAACGGAATCTACGAACAAAACCGTCGCCATCATGTATGTTTATAAGAGAGGTATGTACACTGATTAGAAGTTCCTTTTATTGCCTGTACTCATTACTTTTAGATGGACGCAAGGAACGCGTTCAATTCGATAAAATCACAGCTCGTGTGTCGAGATTGTGTTATGGTCTCGATCCTGATCACATAGATGCTGCTGCCATTACCCAAAAGGTCATTTCTGGTGTCTACCAAGGTGTCAATACTATTGAGCTTGACAACCTCGTAAGTTGATCCCCCCCTCAGGAAAACATAATGAGACTGGTTCTCGCTCCAAGGAATACTGCTGACTTCATCCAAAGGCCGCAGAAACTGCTGCATATATGACAGTCACCCATCCCGATTATGCCATTCTAGCTGCTCGTATTGCAGTTTCAAACCTTCACAAACAAACCAAGAAACAATTTTCCCACGTTATTCGCGATTTATACCAATATACAAACCCAAGAAATGGCACAGCATCTCCTATGATTAGCAAGCAAACTTACGAGTGTGTTATGAGACATGAAGAGGAACTCAACTCTGCTATCGTCTATGACCGAGATTTCAACTACCAATACTTCGGATTCAAGACCCTCGAGCGATCATATCTCTTACGTCTTGATGGCAAAGTTGCAGAGCGTCCACAACAGATGATCATGCGTGTTGCCGTTGGTATTCACGGTGATGATATTGAAAGTGCGATCGAAACTTATAACTTGATGTCCAACAAGTACTTTACACACGCTTCACCAACACTCTTCTCTGCAGGTACTCCACAAGCACAACTTTCATCATGCTTCCTCATCGATATGAAGGAGGACAGTATTGATGGTATCTACGATACTTTGAAGATCTGTGCCATGATTTCAAAGAATGCTGGTGGAATTGGTCTTAACATTCACAGAATTCGTGCTACCGGTGCATACATCGCTGGTACCAACGGAAACTCCAACGGTATTGTTCCTATGCTCCGAGTTTTCAACAACACTGCCAGATATGTCGACCAAGGTGGTAACAAGCGCCCTGGTGCATTTGCTGTGTACCTTGAGCCATGGCATGCGGACGTTTTCGAGTTTCTTGATCTGCGCAAAAACCACGGCAAGGAAGAAGTTCGTGCACGCGATCTTTTCTATGCCTTGTGGATTCCTGATCTGTTCATGAAGCGTGTTGAAAAGAACGGAGAGTGGACTTTGATGTGCCCGAATGAGTGCCCTGGTTTGGCAGATGTGTATGGCGAGGAGTTCGAGGCTCTCTACGAAGGTTATGAGAAGGCAGGCAAGGGTCGCAAGACTATCAAGGCACAAAAGCTTTGGTACTCTATTCTTGAGGCTCAAACCGAGACCGGAAACCCTTTCATGCTTTACAAAGATGCATGCAACAAGAAGAGCAACCAAAAGAACCTCGGTACTATTCGCAGTTCCAACTTGTGCACAGAGATTGTCGAGTACTCTGCACCGGATGAGGTTGCTTGCTGTAACTTGGCTTCCATCGCTTTACCAACCTTTGTCAACATGAATGAGGGAACTTATGATTTCCAGAAGCTCCACGAGGTTGTTCAAGTTGTTGTTAGAAACTTAAACAAGATCATTGATATCAACTACTATCCCGTTCCAGAAGCTAGAAAAAGCAATTTCCGTCACCGACCTATTGCTGTTGGTGTTCAAGGTCTTGCTGATGCTTTCTTGGCCCTTCGTCTTCCATTTGACTCTCCAGAAGCCAAGCATCTCAACATTCAAATTTTCGAGACCATCTACCACGCTGCCTTGACCTCATCCGTTGAGATTGCAAAGGAACTTGGCCCATACGAAACTTACCAAGGCTCCCCAGTCTCCAAGGGTGAACTCCAATATGACATGTGGGGTGTTACACCTACTGACTTGTGGGATTGGGATTCTTTGAAGCAATCCATCAAGCAACACGGAGTTCGCAACTCGCTTCTCGTTGCACCTATGCCAACTGCCAGTACTTCCCAAATTCTTGGCTTCAATGAATGTTTCGAGCCATACACTTCGAACATCTATTCCCGTCGTGTTCTTGCTGGAGAGTTCCAAGTCGTCAACCCATGGCTCCTCAAGGACCTCGTCGATATGGGTCTCTGGTCCGACAACATGAAGAACCGTATTATCGCTGATGGTGGATCTATTCAAAACATCCCCAACATTCCAGCTGATATTAAGGCCCTTTACAAGACCGTTTGGGAAATTTCTCAACGAACAATCGTCCAAATGGCTGCTGATCGTGGTGCGTTTATCGATCAATCTCAATCAATGAACATTCACATGAAGGATCCTACAATGGGCAAGATCACATCTATGCACTTTGCTGGCTGGAAATTGGGCTTGAAGACCGGAATGTACTATTTACGTACTATGGCTGCTTCAGCACCCATTCAATTCACCGTCGATCAAGAAGCTCTCCTTGTAGCTGACACCAATGTCGCTCGTGAACGTACCTTGAAGAAGCGCACTTTACCAACTTCTGGTTATGTCTCTAGCGCTTCGTCGATCAACGGCGGTGGCCCAAGACCTATGTACGCTGGTAAATCCGCACAATCCATCGGTGCACCAAAGGATGTACCAACACCAAGCATTACACCTCCACCTGCATCTAGCAAGGAAATTCACACTCCAGTTGCTAAGACTCCTTTCAAGGCTGATGTAGAAGAGGGTGATAGTCCAAAAGCACTCGCTACTGAGCCTACAGATGCAGTTCCTAAGGAGGAAGAATTGCTTGAGTCAAGTGTTGAGAAGAAGACCCAAGATGAGGATCAAGGCAAGGACAGCACCGATAGAGAGTATGACATCTATGCTGATGCCAAGTTGCAATGTAAGTTTTCTCTATTCTCTTCTCATCGAATATTTCACATACTAATAAACAAATAGGCAGCATTGACAACAAAGAAGAATGTATGATGTGCAGTGGATAGAGTATGTTAGATGAGAGATGAGTAAAGCTCACGCTTTGGTGCTTTTGGTTTTTGGGGAAAGGGGTAACAAGGCGTTGATTTATTGATTGATTGTCATTTTTCACGGGAATGGCAGGATGGATGGATGGATAAACAATATGGTTATTATGTAGGTACGATATCGATGTTGTATGAATAATTGAGGATACGGGGGGAAGAAATTAGTCTTCAGGAACATGTGCAATTATGGGAAGTTAATTAGTACTTTAGTCTAGATAGTTCATTGCAATGATGTTTTTATAAATCATTCGGTACGTGGCGAAGATATGATGCAATCATATCTTTGACTTTGGGGATACCTCCCGAGGTTGATTCGAAAGAGTGAGATGTGAAATCAGCTACCCAGCTCCCCTGTTTCCACTCTTTTTCCATCTCTAACTTATCACACTCTTCCTCTTATACCCCCCTATTCACCAAACTCGCTTCCCTTTATTCTCTCAGTCCCATACCCTGCCCTTCTTTCAATCCCCAAGTTTTCCCATACATAACAACTCAAATTCCTCGGTGCATTCGAGGTAAATGCATGATCTCTCTCTTCCGTGCTTCCAGAAAATAACATCAGAGGCCTTCATCTGAAGCCCCCTGTTAATTCCTTGCTCGGCTGTCAACTTATCTTTGTCTTGATCTCGGTAATGATTACAAGTCATTCTCTTGCAACTTTTCTTTGAACTGTCCTTTCTTCCTTTTCTTTCTTTTGTGATTACTTGCTTGCTTGTATTGTAATATATATGTAGATACTACACTACCTATATACCCAACAAAGACGAGTATAAATTTACACTTACTCACTCACTCCCATTCATAAATCCATATAAATCTCCCATCATCGTTTCTCCGTCAAGCTCCTCACCTCCCCTCTTCGCATTTCTCTTTTCCGTTTTACCCTTGGACTTCCAATTTCAAAAATTCGGATTTCATGGTATGTACATACATGCATACATACATTATATTACATTTCCATTCTATTTATTTTATATTTCTTACCGTTATATTCTACCCACTTCGAATAAACCACCACTACCAATTCGACGTGCTGATCGGATCTGATTTGACCTATCGATACAAATACATGTACATAATCATAATGGCGGATATATGTAACCTTAGAAGATTTTTCACAAAGAAGTGATGTGTAGATATATAGATACTGGAATACATACATACCAACAGCTCAAGCATTTACACATATACACATACACATACGCATATAATCAAACCTAAACCCAAACTTAAGCCCAAACCCACTTAATCTATATCCAACTATACTATACCCAACTACACTACACTTTACAATACAACACTATACCATCTCCCCCTCCCCCTCCTCATAATCTTCCCAATCTTTCCAATCAACTCATGATCCACCGCAAAACGCATAACGCAGAACGCATAACGCAAAACACATAGCATGCATCATTGCCCAGTTTAACCTCCTGCCTGTTGAAATATTTCCTGCCTGCCGGTCAGCTGCATACCCGGTGCGAAGCACTATCATCCAAGTGCCTTTGCTAACTTTACAATTCTCCCTTCACTGCCGAGTTCCGCTTCTTTTCGTGCCCAGTGAGCAAACTGCAATCCGTCTAATCTAGGCCAAGCGCAAGCATCTGCACTTGAACGTCTACTAAATGAGTAACATTGGCAAAGATAACAATTGCTCATATCAATTCGGCATTCATTCGTCATCTTCATTATAATTCGACTCCACAACAAGATGGTTTCACAAAATCACAAAAAGGTATCAATAAAAACTTTTAATAGTATTAACCTTCATTTTTTAAACTATTTATTACAGTTCATAATTCGTACCGTCATTCATGCTTGAAAGCAGAATGTGTACCATTTGCCTCCCACCCACGCCATGCCATGCCATGATCTCATTTATCCACCATTAAATTTCCATTAACATCCACGGATTACCCCAATTGTTATTACCATGTCTATGGCGTCATGTGCATAGCTTCATATGATATGTATGACCAGAAATCCCATCCATACCTATCATCAAATGCCCCCATACCATCCATCGTGAGTCGTCAAAAGTTAAAGAAAGAAATTGTAAAATAGTATAATCAAGAATCGAAAAAGGAGAAGGGTATCGTTGCGAGTCCAACTACACTCAAATTCCGTTATATTCACCTTCAGAAGCATTGCCGTATCAATAAGATAAGGAAACGGACATCATGAAGTTGTTTACAAGAAAAGAGCGGCGAGACCAGCAGCGGCCATCAAACCAGTAGCACCAGTTGGAAGGGAACCCATGGCGGATGAGGTTGCGGATGCTGCAGCGCTACCAGCAGCAGAGGTGGCGGAAGTGGCTCTGCTGGTGGCAGATGAAACTGCGCTGGAAGCACCTGAAGCCAAGCTAGAGGCGGCAGATGAGGCAGAGGATTGAATAGAAGAGATGGCAGATGAGGCGCTGGAGGAGATAGCGGAAGCGGAGGAAGCAGCCTCGGAGGAAACGCTGGCAACAGCTCCAATACCAGAGATGGTGGTGGATCCTACAGTGGTCTCAAAAGTGGAGGAATCGCTAGTGACGGTGGAGACGATAGCAGAGGTGGTGATGGCAGAGGAGATACCGCTGTCAGTTGGGCTTGGAGTGCTGTAAATGGTGGAAGATCCAACAGTAGACTCGAAGGTAGAATCGTCACTGGTAATGGTGGAGACAACAGCTTCGGTAGAGATTGGAGTAGAGGATACAACAGCAATACCGCCGGCACCGTAAATTGTAGTAGAACCAATGGTGGTAGTGATGGTCTCAGATCCAGAGGTAACTGTTGCCAGGAGAGCAGAGGTGGTGATGGCGGAAGAGCTGGCAGCAGCCTATTGAATTTGGTTAGTAAATATTCAAATTCACTTAACAATGATATCATTGTTGAAATTAATCTGTTCCTGGACGCCCAATCTCCTTTGTCGTTGGAAATAATCGGGGAAGAACCACCAAGAACCCCACAAATAGAAGTTGACATCATGCGATAGAAAGAAAGAAAGAATAAAACTTACAGATGATTCAGCTGAACCACTTCCGGAAGCAGAGGCGGTAGAAGTAGCCAAGGTGGATGACTCGGCGGAACCAGTGGTAGAGACAGCTATTGAGTGTTAGGAAAAGGTCAAATTGAAACCCGGCATCAGAAATATCATACCTGCGCAGTAGTTTTGGCCGTAGGCGATAACGGAAACAGCAGCTTCAGTACCACATGCGGCGTTGGAGCAATCACGGATACCGTAGGCAAAGTCTGGCTTGGTGCAAAGACAGGCAGCATCAGGGGCAGAGCATCCAAGAGCTTGAGCTTGGGCGAGCATGTTGCTGATACAGGTTTGCTATAGATATAAGATTAGTCATTGGACATGGAAGAGCAAAACGTCGCGATCAAGTTGCACAGAGCGTATGCAATTTGACGGCGACGACATCAGCATATCGGAACCAGAATTAAATACTTACACCACATGATGGAAGATCGGTGAGGGTTTGAGCGACAGAAGCAGCTGCGAAAGCGCTGATGGCGAGGATAACTGAGGACTTCATATTGATTATCGTGGGTTGAGGAAGTATACTTCGTAAATTGGTATTGTAGAATCTTTGAGATTGAAGAGAGTTGGTCTTTCGAAAAGATTTGATGGATTGAGATGGTGATTAGAAGTTATTTATCTTTACTTATGAAGATGGATGTGGAAAGGTGTGACAAAGGTGGATGGGTAGATGGAAGAAGGTTTTTTCTTTGTTTATAGAGAAGTGAACTGGTTTGAAAGTAAGTTTGGGTTGGGGGGGTGGAAGTGAATCTTATTATAAATTTCCACAGACGGGGAAGGACCATGGAAAAGCGAAGTGAAGTCAGAGTGAATATTGAGCCTTGACTATCATGATTGAGTGAAGCTTGATTATTATTATTTTCCTTTCCTTTCCTTTCCTTTCTTGCTTGGGTTGAGAAATTAGCTTAGATGGGAAAGAGTGACGAAAGGGACATCCAGATCCAATGAACATGAAGCTAAGGTAAGGTACCCAATTTGCCATCAGTCTGTTAGAAGCTGGGCAAAATTATTAGCTCCCTCAACCAACCAATTGACTAATTCATGATCGAGTTAGTCCGGTCAATCTAGTCTCGTTGTAGTTGTAGTTAGACTCTGCTGGATAAAGGTGCTTATTCACCTATTCGCTTTGACAAAATCCCTGGGTCCAGAGTAGACGGTTTGGATAGGTATATCAAGACTAATCAAAACTAATTACCAATTGAAGCTGTATAACTAACCATCATCTAATTTCCATCATTTCAACTCAAGTATACCGATGATTCCATATTTGCAAATTCAAACCCATACATTTGTTACCCTTTTGGGAATGATTTGTTCATCCACTATACCATTTCATCTGAATATTCCGCCATGAATAAAAAATCATACTTTGTGAGGGTCATTTTGCCAACAAGTCCCTCTACGCTGGCCATGTCTTTTTCCCAAAGCTTGGAAACTCTCACCGATTTGTGAACTCTCAAATGTACGTTACCGTTTTGATTGTACTAGTTGATGCATCTTTACTTCATTCATGGTAGAGGACCAGTAGTATCATTAGAAGTGGAGGATACCAGCCACGAAGTCGATATAAGATGGCTGGAAACATGATTTTCCTTGTAGGCACACCAAAGACGGGATTTGGGGAGGAGATGTTGTCCAACTTTCACTCGCTTGCAGATGCTAATGCGTGGGCATTGGGTACATGTCGAGTTCCAAGAAATCGTTGGTAAATTTCTCCGCATTTATCGACAAGGAAGAGGAGGGAAAAAGAAAATCCAAGGTTGGTTTTTAGAGGTAGAGAGGCATGCAAGTAAGGTCGAAAGCAGATTGTGGCGTGTCGTGGCGCATTCATCTAGTTCTCTCCAAGGTTCTGACATCACGGACAGTGTGGCTGATGTCAATGATATGGATGGATGGGTGATATGGATATGGTTGATATTGGTGATACTGCATGGACAATCAAATGTATGTTTCTCATGTCATGTCATGCCATGCTATACCAACCATGCTATGCCATACGATACGATACGGGTCACTTTACCTTCTCTCCCATCCCCAGATCTTCCATGTTTAATTTCATGCTTTCTTGATCATTCACTCACATTCTATCTAGGTAATTAGGTAGGTAGCAGGTAGGTAGCAGGTAGGTATACTTTTGCATTCTTGAGCTAATTATCCTACAATTCATTGTTACACAGATGCTGCTCTGTTCCAGCGATATGCGTACGCGGTACAAAAAAG